CAAAAAAACACATAGTTGAGTTTAAAAACTTTGATCCCCTTTTTTGGTTGCAAACTTGCAAGCTTGCTTTTCTTCTCAAAAACAAATTTTAGGAAAACTTGGGTGCAAAATTTAATTTTTTATGATTATAACGTAGTCGAGAATGAGTTTTTGACCCAAAAATTACAAAAAAAAATGTTCTGTTTTTGTAAACACGAATAATACTTTTTTTCATATGCCAAGGTAAAATAAAAATTGTAAAAATACAGACCTTTTTTCTCAACCACCATATTTTCAAACTAAAAATTATGTAGCCAAAAAAAAGTTACATTTTTGGGATATAATTTCATGTGAAAATGTTTAAATTAATTTTCTTGGCTGAAATCCCCTAATGCAATTTACCTGCGTGGTAACTACCAGTTATACACAAGGCTTTTTGTGACAAAAATCCTTGGGTAGTGTCGTCTTTAGGATTTTCACACACGGTCTTGCGAAGCTATCCCTTTTTACCGTGCTAAAGCAGGGGGCACTTAAGGCTCGGTATTAACGACAATCCCGAAAGGGTTATGTTAGTGGTGAGTTGTCCTCTACTGTATTCTATTGCTCCCCCTTGGTCAGTGATATTCTTGCTCGCTATATCTCGCTTGAAGTCGCGTAAAACGAGTATAATTTATTTATATACAACAGAATGGTTTGCGATATGTACACGCTTAACAATTTCTTCTGCGTACTCGGTCAGTACACGCGTCGACTAAGCGCTCTGAATTTTGCTAGCTTCTACTCTAACTAATATTCCACAAGGCACTTCGACTTGCGTTCTTACTTCACTCGCTGTAAAACAATTAACTGATGAGTTCAGATAGCGACCACAACTGGGACCTACTGAATCTTACGTTCGTTAACTCGTTCTCCCTTCAAAATCCGCTCTCGAACCTCCACTTCTTATCTCTATTTGCGCTCCGTTTTTGTTAAAGTCACGCCACTTCATATCGGTGTTGTCATCCCCTTAAGCACAACCGCCCCCTATGGTTTTCCTTTTTACCTACCCTCCCTGTCAAAGCTGACGGGTTCCAAGTCCGGGGTTTTTATCGACTTGTTCATGTTTCGTAAATACATCCCCCTGCGGTTGGTATCGTAAATAGGGTAAGTAACCGAAGTCGTATGATTCTTATCAGTTAAATCCCCCCTACGCTACTTACTTAAATACCAACTGACTTCGGTGTCAAATCCTGACCCAAGCAGCAAAGTCGTACGATCCCAATAAACTAATCATAACCCGATTTTGAACCAAATTTACTAATATTTTCCCTACCATGTTAGGATAAAATACACGGTTGGGGGTAAGTTTTGCTTTTATACTCGGTAGTACCCCCATGACCCAATTTACCCTAGGCACATAATTCCGTGCATGTACAATCCCATAGCAATTAGCTACCTACAGGTATAAACCGTTTTCCATTTTCTTAATCCCAGCCAGAGTTAGAGGGGAAATGTCCGGGTAAAAGTGCATTTTTCTTCGATTTTATTTTACTACTTTATTTAGCTTTAAGTCCATTTTTCAATCTTTCTACTTTGTTTACCCTTAGCTAACAGCCATCCAATTAAGCTATTTAGACCTCATAACGAGAAATAAAATACCTAAACTTAAACCAAGGTAACGATACCCAAGCAGAAAATACGCTAAGTCGAAAATTTGCTAGAATTACCAATTCTACAGGTAGTGTTTTGGTTGAAACATAAAAATTCAAAACAAAAAATGGATTATAATAGATTTTCATTTCAAAATAATCGATTATAATGGATTATCTTGGCAAAAATAATTGATTTCAGTGACAAAAATAATGGATTATAATCGATTTTAATGGATTATAATGGATTATAGTTGTTCAAAAATAATCAATGATAATGGCTATATAATCGATTTCGTGGTCTGAATTTTACATCCGTAATGGATTATAATCAATTATTTTTGTCTCGGGAATCCATTATAATCGATTAGAATCCATGGGCGCTCGGTGCGGGTGGCTTTCAAGGCCGAACATAAAGCTGAAATCATTTATTTTAGATGTACAAACGTATTGTATAAACAAGACTGCTCGTATCAGGGCGAAGCCCTGAATGTTTCGACTGCCTTTTTTAGGTTTTATGGAGCAGTATAACATTAAAAAATTAAATAAAAGAAAAAATAAAATGAAATTTTTTTTCTAAAATTTGGAATATTTCATGAAAATCATCCCACCACACGCCATATAAAGTACAAAACGATAGATTTCGCTCCTTGTAACAAATCACTTATGGAAAATAAGCTTCTTTCAACCAACTTGGAACGATTTGAAGACGGAATAACTCTCCGCTTACGCGTTAATAGCGCGAAATATATCGCGCGTTAATTGTCCCAAATTGGCCAAAATGGCAATCTGTAAACCCCCATAACTTTATGAAAAATGATCACAAGTGAAATATCTTTTCAAATTTGACCTCAGGACAACAACATTTCTTGAATGATATGAAAAAACTCCGTCAAAAAAGGCTAGTTAAAAAGTCGAAATTTGTCTGAAGAAAAAAAAACCCACCCCGAGCACAAATATTCCGTTATTTTCCTATCGAAAGTCGGAACAATAAGTATAAATTTAATATAAATTATCGGAGATATATATCCGGAGAGATAAAACTCCCCTGGATACGCTCAAAACTTAAAAGAGCTTGTAGGGTATGGGATTCATTTCTCATTCTACTATGAAATAATTTTACCCAATACTCTACTCTCATTTCTACGCTCTTGTAGCTGTTTGGCCTTACGGTCCCTTCTCTTCGTTTTCCTTCGTGCTTCTCTTTTTTTTTTAATTTCATTCTCGGCGTCGATCCTGTTAATTGCTCAGCCTTCTTGTAGCTTCTAGGTTGCCGCTTGTTCGTCCCCCCCTCTGATTCTTTCTTATTCTTGCTGCCCGACGTTACCGGGGTCCTACGTTCTTGGATGCCCGAAGATTCGCTTCCTGTCGACAGTTCGATAACCTCAACGTTCTCTTTTATCTTTTTGATTGCTCTTCCCCACGTTCATGCTCTTCAGGAACTGCAGGCATGCCTTATTTTGGTTTGTATCATTTCGTTCCAGTTGATTCGCCATAGATCCCATCCCCATTCGCCTATAGATAGTGCATCCTCTGTTGTTGTCTGCTTTGTCGTACCATCTTTCTTGTTTTTCCGTATGGTCATGATAGTTATCGCATTCCATTTTTTACGAGAGCACACTTGTTATCGCCCTAGTTGAAGCTCTTTTTGACGGTGGCGCCTTTTTCATATCCTGCTTTAGCATAAGTGGTTAGGTTTTGGCCGATGAAGCAGTTGAAACGTCGAATTTTGACGATGGTGTATGGGAAACGTTGAACCTCAACCCTCTCCCGTTCTTTTGCCGTGTTAGTTGGTTTTGCTCTTCATCGTTAGCTTGTTTTTTCTTTTTTTGGGTGATATTTGTCTTGTTGGAACCCCGATTGGATTTTTCAATTGATTGGTAAGTAGCAAAAACCTCAGTTAACACGCAATATTTGTTTTTATAGAAGTCCAATTACACTTTTTAGGAATTTCTGGAAACGTTGATATTACGGACAGGCCAACGACGTTGAAACATGTACAGCTCTTAGCTTGGTAGCTACGTAAGCTTTTAGTTCAACTGCCAAGTGGTCCCCACATCAATATTGAAGCAAAATACTTTTTTTTTGCATTTTTTGGAGGACAACTTCCGATTACTTTTAGCATTTTCGTAGCCGAGGAAGTGTTAAAGGAAGCTTGCAAAACTATTTTTCCTGTAGTTGAAGTAAATTTTCAATTCCTAATTGAATTTTTTTTTGCGTTATTTGCCCGATGTACTCGTTTGAAACTAGCTTCACTGTTAGTTTTTTTATATAGAGGGTATGACTGAGGGAGGCGGAGCAATAAGCAGAATGGTCCAAGTGCAGAATGGGTCCAAGAGCAGAAAAACAGAAAAACTTTGACTTATATTGGTTTATATGGGCTATTTGATAATACAATTATTAGAATCGTTAAAAAATACCAAGAAAACGAATAAATTATGCATGAATTGTCTAATTTCATTAAATTTTTTTATTATATTTTTTTTCAAATTCTTGATTAAATTACTCAAACTGTGCATAAAATGTTCGTTGCGTTGGTATTATTGATGTTTCAGATAATTAATTTACCGAATAGCTTATAAAAGTTGATATTTTTCTGTTTTTCTGCTCTTAGACCATTCTGCTTATTGACTGGCCACCATGACTGAGTTATAGGAAAAAGGTTGAAAATTACAAAATAGCAAGAAAAATAAACTTAAAGTTAAAGTAGAGTTACGTTTTACCACGATTCTGGATCTCTTCACTCGGTGGCTACCTCGAAATTAGACTAAAACGCGTTTATTTTAGACCTATTTTCTCATTGAAAATTTTTTTTCCAAATGTAATGTCGTTCGAGTGACGACTGAAAATGCTTCAATATGATATATCACTCAACCATTCTAGTAAACAATTGAATTGTTTGTGGTACTTGATTATGGGTTGGTTTTGCGTTAAAATAAAAAACTACGGTACGTGCTGGAACTCTGCACTGGAAAACGAAAGTACAAAAAAAGATAAACAAAATTGCGGAATCCAATTACAATTTACAAAATACACAGTTTGGCCTCGCAATTAAATTTTTATATTATCACAAAAAAAATTTCAAGAATACAATAGGAGTTTTCAAGCTCAGCTTAATGTGTTATTAACAAATTGAGTCCCTTGGCTCTTTTTTTTTCAGTCTCCATTCATTCTTGTGCGTCATCATCGCGTCATATCAAACGATGCATATCCGAACTTCCTCCGAAAAGATGTCTTTCGAGAAGACCCAGCTTTGATTCTGTAGGTTTGTTCGTTCCAGTTTCAAACATGGCGAGTTTGAGGCGGTACGCCTCCAGAGCTGTTTTATTTAGGTCCGTTATACCGTCCTCCGAACATATTAAGCGTACTGAATGCTTAGAGGGATCATCGTACCTCTTGGGTCCCTGGTTCTTCGTTTGGCCGCCACTACGTCTAATCGGGATTGCAGTATCATGTTTGTCTTTTTTGGTTCATCTGAGAATCCTGGTGGTGTATCCATCTGGCTTTCCAACGCTTCCTGATCACTGTCCCTAGATATGAGTATATCTTCCGCCGTTTTCTGCACCCCGCGTGTGAGTACCTGGTCCGATATCTTCTCCCACTCGTCTTTTGTCATATTTTGATTCTGGAAGGCCTCCAGTATTGGCTCTGGAGTGGTCTGGCGGCTGATTTCTTTCAACTTTACCGGCTGTTTGATCGGAGTGGACAACTTTGTGATGCTTCATTCCGATGAACCTGGACTTGATGCGATGTGTTGTGTGTTGTATTTGCCGTTGACGACTGCTGAAGCAGCTTTCGACCGACGGTTTTCCTGAACTGTAGGTTTTCTATTTTTTTGTCATAGGGCTACTGTCGTACTGATGTTTCCGCACGCTCAAAATCTGCCCGGCATTATAAGGCTTCGCCTTTTTCACAGATTTAGTCCATAGTTGTGGACTAAAATTTTTCTTTTGTTGTTTGTGTTTATTTTCATCACTTTTCATATTCTTTGCGTTTCTCGGGTTCATCTGTTTTTCCGGATGGTTTACTTTAGCTTTCGATCGGACAAAATCACTTTTGCGATAAATTGCCCCCGCTGCTGTTTTGATAGTAGACGGCGTTTCAGAAGTTACAATTCACTTCAACAGATTTGCGAGGGACTTCCCACTCTTTCGGTTCTTGTCTTTTCTGAGCAAAATCGGTGACAAAGCGCTGTGTTGCTCTACCCGTTCATCTTCTATAAAACCTTTCTCCCACGAGTACAAAAGCTCTTTTCGCAGTTGCGGATTAATGGTTTTCGTTTCTTCCACTATCCGCCGGATATCGCTGGCCGATGCGTCTCTGCGGGTGGCATTCCAACGTCCATTGGCTTCAAGTAGGAATTTCATCGCCTTGACATGATCTTTGTCTTTCACTGATTCTATATGCTGCCCAAACAGTTGGCTGACATCTCGACTGTTCGTTCCTTTAGACACGATCTTCACATTTTCTTGCGATTGAACGATTCGCTTCTTCAACTGAGAAGCCGTGAGTGCCGATCTCTCCAAGTGTTCTTCATCTAAACGGTCGGATTTAAACAAAAGTTTATCCCTTTGTATTTTAAATTCAATTTTTGGAAGACGTCCAAAGTGATCTTCGAACGGAGAGCGCTGTATAGTTTTTTATTTAGTCCATCTAAGATCTCGTATCATTGTACTAAGTCAAAGCTTTATTGATGCGACATTTTTATCCAGATGCATTACTCCCAGTCTTCTCTTGATGGTTTGAATAGATCGTTCGACTGACCCACATCCTCGGTTATCTCCTACCGGATAACATTTTTGATTAATGTTGTTTTCTGTAGACAATTTTTTCATTGCTTTACCCTTGAACCCGGAAAATTGGTCAGTTTTTATCGATTCCGGTATTCCGTGTTTGTCAATGTAAGTACGTAGGAACATAATTGATGACTTTCCACCAGTAGATTTGGTAGTTTTCACAGACGGAAATTTTCAATACCGGTCTATCGCTACCAGTATATTTTCTTCCCTTTATGATCTTCCAACGGTCCTGCATAATCCAATTGTTTTTCCTGACTCGGCTGCGTTAGCAATGGTAGCGGTTTGGCTGCACTTTTAGGAATGATATATTTAGCATTCTAACCATAGCGGGTGCAGCTTCTACACTCCTCAGCCAGGTTGACTATATCTTCGTGCATGTGCGGCCACCACAAGTAGTGGGACACATTCAACATAGCTTCTTGAACGGGATGACCTTGACGAATTTTTTTTAGAACCGCTGGGCGCAACTGACATGGTACCACCAGCCTATTGTCCACCAGGATACAGTCGTCCACTACACTTAACTGATTACCCATGGGTTCAAAGCTGTGGCGGTCGTTTCTTTCAAAAACTCTGCAAAGTCGGTCCATCCAAAAGTTCTCCGTGATGAGTTCCGCTAATTAATTCCTGTCGAATAAGATTGTCGAGCCCTCCTGGTATATCGTTCTTGTCTTCCCGGAAATACTCTTTCCGTGAGTTATGGCTGATGCGTCGTGAAACCAAACTGACTTCTTGACTGTTTTCTTCTGGGCTATCGGCCGTGAGATCAACCTCCACGATTGGTACTCTATCAGTCTCGTCGCTGCAGTTTTCTTCCGCGTTTGGGCTAATCATTTCCGAGTAAGCATCCAGTTCAAGCATAGTTCCCGGTCTGTCCAATCTTTCCAAGCCGATAAGAAACGAAACTACATTTGGTATCCTTTTCTTCGCAACCACTGATGAAGAAGTTCCAGACTCCTTAATTGCAACTGCCGATGAAGAAGCTCCAGTGTTGCTAAACCCAACCGCTGATGCAGAAGCTCCAGTCTCCTCTTGGTTTCTTATGTGTTTTCCCAGTGTTTTCCACTCAGCATATGGGTTTTCCGAGTCCGAGCTATCCGAGTTTGCCTCTTTGTTTGTCTCCGTTCCCCGTTTAATAAACCGCGTTCGCTGGAAAGTCGTTTCCATGACTTCTTCCGTCACCTGATTATGCCCACCGCACTGTTTGTTATCACTGATCCTCACCGTCTTCTTTCCCTTGTCTTTCTAGGTCTTATTTGTGTCCTTGTCCATTTCTTTATTTCTTTTTTCTGAATTTTTCGGGATTCTCTTGACCAACTGCTTTGATTGAAATAAATTGCATGAACTCTTTGATTTCAATTTTGAAAATCTTGATGCTAAAACGCTTCCGTTCCGGTCGATCCCTGTTCACTTTGAACTGATTTGATTGCCAGTTTAATAGAGACAGTAATGACAGAAATGACTATGGGGGCAATAAAACAATCACTGGTGCATACATCCAGCTTTTTATGTGCCCTTCTGACAACAATTTTGTTAATACCGATTGGACTTTGTCCTGAATATGAAAAGGGATTCGTCGACCCTTCTCTTGTATCGAACATAGTGGGTATTTAAATTTTGTACTCACCACATGATTTTTTCATTTACGTTGTCGATTAAAAAGGTCAGAAAATTTTTCATAAAAAATTGTTGTTTCCTACGTTGTGAATGCTCGCATACTAGCACGTCAAACCTCGGTTTTTCTGTGCGTGCCGTCTTTTGGGTTGTGTGTATTCCTACTTTGCCCTGTAGATATAACCCCAATATGCATCTTGTGCGGCGTTCAGTGACTAAGAATGATACTCCTTTCACCTCCCATCCAGCTGAACTGATATCCGCTTTCAGTGCTCCCAGAATTAAGATTGGTTGCTTATGATAATCAACAAACTCCGCTGACAAGTTTAATCATTCCGCTGGAATGATTTTTTATTTATGGAGATCCTTTCAAGATTTGATTAGTTGTTTTCCAATTGAGAAACGACAATGGACTCCCTGTATCTATAGTCATATTGATAATCTGGATATCAACTCGGACTAATGCTTTTAGTGCTTTTATTTGTCCCGACTGGGAGTTTCTCCTTATGTCAATTTTCTTTACATTTTGAGCTTCTCTGCACCCTGTGTTTCAATTTATTCTTTTTTTCATTCGATCCGCAATATAATCTTCTATTTGCTCCACAGACATATCGTCCAATTCGATTACCTTGGTCTGAAATATTCCATCCGTCAAGTCGTTTATTTGTTGTGATCGGCACATTCTAGCAAAATGGTTTGGCTTATTACAGTTTTTGCACGTTTTCCCCGTCGCTGGACAACTCTTCAAGTGTCCCTCCCCAAATGTTTTCCCACATCTTGTACTCAGTTTCTGGTCTGACCGTGGCCTCGTATTGCTTCTGACATTGCGTATTTTCCTTTTATATGATTATCTGTTTGGTCGCTTGCTGTTTTTCCCCTGTTGCCACTTTCCATAATAATGTTCCACTTGCGAACCAATGAAGTTTCCTGCACTTGCAGTAATGGCTTAAGATTTTAGGAGTGCTTGGGTCGTCTGCTTGCTTTGTTCAAACTTTAGCGCTCGTTTCAGGACCTTGTTTTATGAAAACGTCTCGAAATGTCAATATACCTTGTAATACTGTGTTTTTCGTTTTCGAGATAAATAAATCACTAACCAGTTCGTCTTCTGGTGTGGCTAGCTCCACTGTTGCTGCTTGTGCAGTCAAGGCAGCGTGAAAAGATTCCAACGAATTTCCTGCATACTGTGTTCTCGTGAACAGTTTGTACATCTCATATGTTATACTTATCGTTTTTTCGAATGAGGTTTTAGCTAATGTCACCACTTCCCGGAACTCAAGCTTGGAGAATTCTGTATGAGGATTTTTCTGAACAAAACTTTTCTTCCCTTCTGTCCCTAATGCTAGGATTAGTCTCGAAGCGAGTCGCTTTTGGACTTCCTTGTAGAGCACGTTGTGCCCCACCTTTGGTCCTCGCTCTCTTCTCTCTTCGTTTTCTAACACGACTTTGTCTCTCATTAATTTATCCCCTTCTTTATTGCTTGCGCGTCCTGATTTGTTCTTGTTGTTTCTGGCCGAAGGATTGTTTCTTCTATGACGGCTTTTGGGTCCTATAACAGCACTTCTGGGTTCACATTTTCCTTTACTGTCACGGCTAATAGAAATTGATCAAACCAAAATTTAAAATTCCATGTCGGATCCGAATTTTCTGAAGTCCAAAACACAGGAATACCCATGTCGGCTCTATTGTCTTGAAACAAGAATCCTGCTGGTTGCTAAGAGGTTGCTAAGGTTACTAAGAGAAGACAAAATGTAGATTTCAGAAGTTTAATTAATATGAAATCTTTTTTCTTTCTTTTCTACACAATCTAAGTTCCGTAACTGCGTACGGACGAACTGAATTCAGTCATGTTACATTTAAGGTCAGAATAATATGACCTTGAAACAACAGTAACAATATATATATATAGTTAGACATGTGCACTCCTCAAGGTTACTGTAGCTTGGCTGCAGCTGCAGCTACTGTACCACAGATGGAAGAACAAAACACATCCGAAGACAATTCTTCTTCCCACTTTTAAAAATTTATTTTTGGAACCTTCTCCGCTACTAGCAGAGCGTTACCGGTTATGATTGTTAATGCTAGATTGTGTCTTGCCTTGTACGAATTCGTTGATGGTTCTGTACGATGGTTCCTTTGGAAGTTTGTTCTTGTTGGTGTCCTCTCGCATCAAGTAGTCACAAATGAGTCTGAAATGATACAAAAG